CGGCCTCTCGGGGCCGTGACTCGCCACCCCGCGTCCTCCCTGCGTCCCATCCCAACGCGGAAATGTTTTAGTCTCGGAGTGAGTTTAGTTTGGAGAAGTCAGAGTTCAGGCGTGTTAATACTAGCAGATTTCTGTCAGATAGACTCCAGAGTGATTTGGCGAAATATATTACTGTTTATTATTCGTTTGTTCATGTGGGGGGGCGGAGGGGTCCGCGAGCAGACGGTCAGGAAATGAGCAAGACATTAATTTTAGTTTCATTTTTGGACATTTAGTGGTTAAAGCCACTTTTAAAATGCTAATTTTAGATAAAACATAGAAAGTTGACATTGATCTAGTGCATATTTTCCATTTTCATTAGAAGTTAATCATTACCAATTGGAGTATTGTATAAAAACTTTTAAGAAAATCCTAAGACTTGAACTTTAAAGTTTACCATCAACAAAATTTAGAGATGCTTCCACATGATTGATTTCCGAAGGCTCTAAAATATTTTTATCTTTTTAAACACTAGGTTATGAATATCATAGGATTGATCCAGAAATTACAAATCAGAAAACTGAGTGAAAATTCGTATTTGCTGTGCTTTATTCAAACCTAACAGTTTTAAAAATGAAATCTCGTAGTTTTCCTTAGGATTTTTTGCTGAAAAACGACACTCCAACAAAAGAAATCTCTTAATATTACAATGTTTCACAGTCTTCTCCAGGGAGGACCTTTGCAAATAATTGCTGGAAGAAGACAGCGCGGTGTAAGGAAAGAACGTGGCTTTGCAGTCGCCTAGAACGGGGTTTCCTAATCCTTTTCCTCTGGTTATTTGCTCTGTGCCCTGGGACCTTTGCGCCTAGATTTCCTCACAGACGCTTTGGGGCATAAAACCTGCCCTCCTAGGTTTGTTGTAAGAATTAAATGATAAAATGAGTATTCTGGGCTCCAGACAGTTCCTGTCACGTGGTGCAAACTTAGAAAATGTTAATTCCTTTCGACTGTTTCAGACTTGGTCTCTTCTCAGCCTTTTGTCAGCCGCGTTCACAGGGTACACTGCTGTTACATAGCGTGTGTTTTATCCATAAGACATAAATAAGCCGAGGTTAAAAGTGAGGGCGCTGTTGGAAAAATAGGCATTTGAAATTTATTACCACTGTGTGTAGTGTGTTCAGTTCCAGGTAAAACTGTAACCATCAATTCTGCAATGAATGTGTTTAACATTTGTGATGTTTTCATTTGTGTTTTTTTTTTTTTTTTCTCTCTCCTACTCAGCTCTTGTTCCCTGTTCTTTGCCCCTGGTTTGCCTGGCGAAGATACCACAGTGATGTCTGCATTCAACCTGCTGCACTTGGTGACAAAGAGCCAGCCGGTGGCCCTGCGAGCCTGTGGCCTTCCCTCAGGTCGCTGCTTGTTGTACGGTATTGGGGGCAGGGGCGCCGTCTGAGGGGGTGTTTCTGCTCTGCTGCAGGAAATGATACACCATGGCACTTTGCGAAATTCCGTTTTCTTTTACTTGGGCCTTAATTTGAAGGCGGAAATTGGTTATAAATCACCACTCTGCTTTCAGTAACGTTCATTTCCACAATCCTTACAACCCGTTTCCCTGCCAGTGTATAATTGTCACTAATATTTCATGATATCTGCTTGTTCTTTAGTGCACCCCACACATCTGCAAACCATGATGCTCATGAGAAGCTGGCAGTCTTTGTAAGAAAAGGCCCTGAATTGCACAGACTAGAACATTCTTCTTGTTTAAGGATAATGAAAATGCTTTTCATTCCACATGTGGTCATTCATTTAGGGAAAAAAAATTGAAATGAATAAATTTAGCATAACTAAATTATTCTAGTTAAAAAGAAAAGATGCTTTTCTTTTTTTTTTT